CCCCCGCCCGAAGAAGCCCCCCTTCCCTCCTTCGCAGGATTCGTCAGGCAGGCAAGCTGGCTCTGGACCTGCCCAGCTACCTCCACACCAACAGCGTCCGGCAGAATGAGTGCGCCCTCCGCCCTTTCCGGGTCAGCTTCAGCCAGCTGGGCTGGGACCACTGGATCATTGCCCCTCACTGGTACCGGCCCCAATACTGCAAGGGCACCTGCCCCCGGGTGCTGCACTTCGGGTACCACTCCCCGAACCACGCCATCGTCCAGAACTTCATCAACGAGCTGGTGGATCCGAGCGTCCCCCGCCCCTCCTGCGTCCCCTACCAGTACGGGCCCATCAGCGTCCTCATGATCGAGCCGAACGGCAACATCCTCTATAAAGTCTACGACGACATGATCGCCAAGTCCTGCCCCTGCCGCTAAGCGGTGGCTGCTGGGGGGGAGGGGTGGGGGGGGAGATGGAGCTTCTTGACGGGGGGGGCTGTGCCGTCGCCCATCACCCTCCCACCAGCAAAGCTGCTTACTCTGAATTCAGAGGCGGTAGAAGAAGTTGGCTCGGCACACGTTGAGCTTCTTTGCATTTTCATGACAGCCACATCCTGAGACAGTCCGGATTTTAATAAAGGTGGCTCTTTTCCTGCTGGATCCGGATCCCCCTCCTTTCTCAGTGACTTCTCGGACGCACAACTCTGCCCGGCCTGGGCTCTTTTCCAGAAGGACTTTTGTTGGGTAGGTTGGCGCCTTATTTTTCCCTCATTAAGAAGGTTGTTTTACAACATTCAGATAAGGCTTTTACCATAGATATGTGGTGACAGTTGTTATATACCATTGACCTGTTTCTGATGTACGGCAACCCTCTTTTATACGGCTTTCGAGGACTCCCTAGCTGTGGCATTCAGGCCCCTCCTCCTCCCCCCCCCCGGGAAGCACACTCCGGTCTTGCATCTCATGTGCCAAACGCGTGTTGTGCCCTCGCAATTTCCGGGGAGCTGTGAGGGTTTGGGAGAGGGAATGCCGCTGGCACATGGGTCTTAATGTTTGTGGGTTCTGGTCACCTCTTTGCCACAGGAGCCTCGTGGATTTTGTCCTGGGGCAAAACCGTTTCGGTCAAGCCTGGCGCTGAAAGTGTCCCTTTCTCTGGGAACTTGGGATCTGGGTTTCCCCGTCGGTCTATGTTTTGTTCTCCTCTGCCAACCCCTGGCCTTTGCACCAGGTGCTGGGGTGGGGGCGGCAGGCAGGCAGGCAGGCAGGGCTGCCTGGGGCGGGTGGGTGGCCTGGTTTGGCCCAGAAGCTCTTCCAAAGCAGCTGTGCTCTAGCGGCTGCTCCGTGCTCTGTCGTCTTTGCTCTCGGTTCCGTGGCTGCCTTGTACGCTCTCACGATGCAAATAAAATCACTCTCATAATTCTCACCTGCCATGTTGGGAGTGCTGAAGGCTGTTGGAAGAATGGTGGCGTGGGGAGGGGGCATGGGGCCGTGAGATGCCCACTGGCTGTCCCCTCGACTGGGTCAGGTGGTTGGGTTTTTTCTTTCTTTGTTTTTTCAAGAAATGCTTCTGGGAGTATTTGGATGTTTTAAGGTGGGCAAGAACTCAGTAACCACTGGGGACCTGGGGGGGGGCTGGTTGGCTAGAGACTGTCCAGAGACCCCCCTCCCGCATCTGAAGCTGCCCCAGCCCACTCCGCTGGCATGCTTTAGGCGGGTGAGGGCGGCTGGGCTGGACCCTGGACCACTTTGCTGCCTGGACCTCTAGGCGCCTCCCTGGCAGGGCAAGGCTTTTTGGGCTGGTGTAAGAGTCAGCGCCTGGTGTTCTTCTGGGGAGGGGGAAGGGAATCCTCCTTTGCCCCCTGCCGCCTGAGGTGGCTCTGGTGGCCACCTTGTCTTCTGCCTGCACAGGAGATGCCCCCTTCTCCTCTGCTCTCCTCCACCAGTGTCAGCCTTCCTGTCTTCCTGCTTTCCTCCCTTGGCACTCTGTAACCTCGTTTGACCTGAACAAGCCGCCAAGAGCCTGGGGCACCTTTCTATTTATTGCCTGGTGTATTTAAACAAGATCATGTAAATAAATCTGCTTTCTTTTGCTACAGAGGACTGCAGCCTCTAATTCGGGGAAGGCCGGGAGGGAGGGAGGGAGGGAGGACTCTGTGCAGGGAGGGAGGTGGGGGTGGAAGCCCGAGGTGCTGAGGTGCTCCGTCAGAGTCAGTCCCCAGGCCTGGAAGAGAGTCAGTCCGGAGAGTCGGCCTTCTCAGGCGTCCCAGCTGGCCTTGCATTGCTCCCCCGTGTAAAGGGAGGTGCAGAGCGCCAAGCTCAGGGACTCGCCCACAGTGTCTGGCTCAGCAGGAAATAAACCCTGCCCAGCAGAGGCCAGTGAGCATCCTGGCTGATTGGTCACTTGCTTGTGTATCGCATTTATAGCCTGTCTTTCCTCTAGCAGGCTCAAGGTGGCAAACATGGTTCTCTTCCTTAATCCACACAGCAATGCAGTGAGGTAGGTCAGGCTGAGAAAGTGCTGCTGGTCTAAACTCACCCTGGGAGTTTTTCAGAGCCAAGGCAGAATTTGAACCCGGCTCTCCCGAGGCTGTTAACTGCTACACCACATGGGCTGGGGCTCTTTTAACCTTCTGAAATGGGAGGGGACAGAGCACAGGCCTTGCAGGGTGTGCACAGAGTCAGGCGGCGTCCCTGGGGATCTGGGGCAGCGGGCGGGGTGGAGGGTGAGGGTGGGGAGCAGCTCTCTCTCTCCCAGAGGACTGGCATGGACAGTTCCCTGGGCATAGTTCCCAGGTGGTGCTGGATGGTCAACAGCCCCCAACCCTGACCTGAGCTGACCTCTCTGGAACAGATGCGGCTCTCTTTGCAGCTGAGCCTGCTTGGACAGTGGACATCGGAGTGACTAGCCATGGCTTCCAGGCGGTCTCCCAGAGCAGTCCCTTCCGCGGAGGAAGAGGAAGAGGGTCACCCAAAGGGTGTCCAGGAGGAGTCGTCACTTGTGCCTCCAAGGGAGGAGCTGCACCTCCCTTCCAAAGTGGTAGAAGAACCGGAGGTTTGGGGTACAGCAAAAGAGAGGTCAACCTGCCTTGGGCCACCAAAGGCAAGGCGCTTGGGGTGAGTCCCCATCATTTCTGTCACTGTGATGTGAGCGGTTGGAACTTTTCTCAGCTGGCTGCTCCAGACCCCCTGCCTTCCTCTCTTTGGCCATGGCTGGTCTTTCGCTATACGAGTTGAGCATATGACCTCGTGCTTAGGAGCCGAGGGTGGGGGGCGGGTGTTCCCTCCTGCCTGGCTCCTTTTTTCTATTAAACTCCTAGGTGCCTTCCCCCACACTTTCTCCAGATCAAGGTGAATCACCTACATTTAAATGGAATGGAAAACCCGGAATGAAGCAGCTGGTCTCACCCCATCCCTTCTGGAGGAAGTGGTGAATATTTTGTTGGCTACTGAGATGCCATATTGCAAGCTGTCCCACAGTTTCACAGGTTGACAGCAGGCTGGGGTGGTCAGGTTGGATCCCCCCCCCCGCAAACAACCTGATTGGATCATGTCTGGGGAGGCTCCTCGCATGCCTAGAGCCTGGAATGTGGGCTCTTCTATGCAAGGCGTGTGGCTTGGATTGGCAGGGGTCGGAACTGTGGTCCTTTCCCTCCTTTAGAGCCAGAACCACCCTTTCCAAGTTTGCATCCCATTTAGCCCCTTAGCGTCATGTAATGGACTACCTTTGTCAATGTCATCTGGGTTCCTAAAGGCTGCAAGGGACCAGCCTGGCTGGGAAGACCCCCCCCCTTCAACTGACGTTGCAGGTGATCTCAGGGGAGTTCCAGTGGTTCAGGGGCCTCACAGGACCTGGGCTTGCTCAAGATAAGGGAACAGGTGGAGATAACAAATCTGGAAAGAACCAGGATGCAAAAACCAAAACACCGTTTCCAAGCAACTGAATCAAAAATCCTGAAATGGAAAGGAAGTTGGAGGGACTGATTCAAGTCTCCAGTCAGGACATGTAGTTCCGTTAAAGTACTCTGAATCGATGGGCCACGGAACCACCTCTTAAGCAGGAGCATGGAGGAGGTGTGGGTGGGGCTTTGGACCCTCCCAGGCTGGGCTGCCCTCTTGGTGGTTGCTAAGCGTGGCGCAGCCACTTGCCAGCCACAGGGAGAGGTAGATCAGTGAGCAGCACCAGGAAGAAAGGGAGCCGCCTGAAACTTCTGGGAAGGTGCCAATGAATCATTAGGCCACGTCTGTTGAGTTATTCCAGGCAGAAGTGATGCAACAAATCTTGGCCACTGAACGTGGCAGGTCACCTTCCAGTTGTGCCTCCTGGAGGGTATAATCCACACTCTTGTATTTCTGATCACCATATATGAGTGCAAAAGCTGGAGGGTAAAGAAAGCTGGCAGGGGGGAAATGATTCATTTGAAATGCGCTGCTGGAGGAGAGCTTTGTGAATACTCTGGACTGCCACAAAGAGGAACAAGTGGGTCCTAGATCAAATTAAGCCTGCACTCTCTCTGGAGGCAAAAATATTGAAGCTGTCCTACTTGGGGCACTTCAAGAGAAGGCAGGATTCCCTGGAAGAGGCCACAATGCTGGGAAAGGTGGAAGCCAGCAGGAAAAGAGGAAGACCCAATATGAGATGGATTGATTTCCTTAAGGAAACCACAGGCTTGGGTTGGCAAGAGCTGACCAGGGCCATTGGGCAGGGCATTTTGGAGGTCATTTATTCCTAGGAACCTTGTTAAGTCAGAGGCAACTTGACGGCACTGAACAATGATCATCCTCCAGATGTGCAGGATCTCAGTTGCGACCCTCCTGGTCTCCTTGAGGAGAAGGAGCAGCAACTTGAGGGATATTCCCCCTCCCCTGGGGCTCCTGCCCTTCTGGCCCCCTGTGTTGCTCCAGCTCAGAGGCCTTAGAGTGCCTGACCTGAGGCTGTGGGGACGGAAAGGGAGGAGGGAGCAGCTTGGACTGGGATAAAAGGGGCTGGCCTCCCTCCCTCCCTCTCATGTTTGGCCACTTGCTCAGCTTCAGCGGGGAGGACGCCACTGGCCTCTGGCGTGGTGGTGGCCGAGGCATGGCTCGGAGCCTTTTGGCGGCCGCTGGGGCCCTCCTGCTGCTTGGGGGGCTGCTCCTGCTCCTGCTGGTGAGTCTGGCCTGGTTCGCAGGGTGTGTCCCGGGTGGCAGGGGTAAGACCAGCCTCGTTCTGGGGGAGGGAAGCAGGAAGGCTGTGTGGGCGCCGTCCCGAACAAGAGACCAGGGAGCGCTTGGGGACCTGCTCCCATACCAGGAGAGAATCCTGCAGCAGCCCTTGCCTTCATGGCGGTCGGAGGGTGGCAGAGGCTGACGTGCCAGTTTGTTGGCTCCTGCGGCCTGGCCTGCCCATCATGCCTCACCTTTGGCCAGGCAGTGGTGGACTGATAAGAGTTTGGGGTTCGGCAGCGTCGGGTCACCCATTCCTGCTGTATGGAAGGGGGCAGCTCTCTCGGAGAAGCCTGGGGCTTCCGCCTTGGCCCAAAGAAGATTCTCTGAGTGACGGGTACCCCCTTCTTTTGAGCAGGGAGAGCAAATGGTGGCTTGGGGTTACAGGGACCCACAATACTTGCCCTGGGGTGGGGTGGGGTGGGGGGGCTGCTGCTCTTGGAAGCTTGAGGGAAAATCAAGTCACCTTTGCAGGAGCCTTTCTGCCACCACATCCAGTGTTCACTGTACAAAGAAAAACAAATATCTATTTTTAGGAAGGGTGGTCTGTAGAAACCTCTCTGCATAGGAGCAGACACTAATCTGTAGGGTTGCCCCATGTCAGGAGTGACCCCCCCTCTATAGACCTGGAAGAAGAATATGGGGATCCCAATCCCGGAGAGGGACCCTGATGCTGCCACGACACTTTGCCTGATTCTTGCTTTTAACAACATAGTGCCCGCTGGGAGGCTTGCCAAAGATCAACACCCCCCCCCAAAGCGGGATGAAGGCAGGCAAAGTGCCAGCCTATCTGGAGCATTCGTGCCTCTATGTGCAGAGGGAGAGTGGATTTCCTTCATGACACTGTGTGACCATCGCTTCTTTGTATGGGGCGGGGTTTGCAGCCTGCTGGCAAGTGTTTCCAGTCCCAGGTCCTTTGTTTTGAAGGTGGACCCCTCTGAAGGAGGAGCTGTCTGGCCACTCAAGCTGTGTGGGGCAGTGGTTAGAGCCAGCTCCCATTTCTCCATTGGACCGGGTGGGGGGACCCTCAGGTGCCAGGAGCGCCCTGAGCCCTACCACCATCTCCTCTCTTCCACAGATCTCTGCAGGCCATGCTGGGGGCCGCATCCTTGCCGGGCAGGAGGTCCCAAGCGCCCTGGTTCCCCAGGCCCTGCAAGCCCAAGGGGCCCTCCCCCTGAGTCGAGCAAAGCGGGCAACACCCTTCTGGCGCATGGTAGGCAGCAAGCCCCTGGGGGCTCCCTGTTCCCGGGGCCTGGAGTGCAGCACCCACCTCTGCAGGTGAGTTGTGCCCGGATGGTGCACCCAAGAAAAGGAGGAGAACTTGCCCTCCCTTGAGCCTTGGAAGGCCATGGGAGGGAGGCTTTTCCTGCCCCTGGGGCCTGGAGGGTGAGGCTGCTGCCCCCCCCCACTCACGCCATGTCTGCCCGGCTCTCTTTCTCTCGCCTCTCTAGGAGTGGGCGCTGTGCAGACCCCCGTGTCCAATCCTGAAGAGGGTCTCGGGGCAAAGGGCCTCTGGTGGGGCTGGCCTTCCTCCTGTCCCTTCTCTTCTCTCCCATGGCCTTTGGAGAACAGCCTGGCAACCTGACGCTTCCTCTGCTGGCACCAGGGAACCCCTTCCAGCAGCCCTTCCTGCTGTGGAGCGCTGAGGAACTCAGCTTGATGCCGGCTCCTCTCACAAACCGGAGGAAATGGGCAGGAGAGAGAGCAGTGGGCCCCCCTGGGCTGCTTCCTCTGGCCCTTGCCGCACCCTCCAGCTGCCCTGCCGCCTGCTGGGAACCTGCACGGCCACCCAGTTCAATGCTGGCCCCTCTGGGCAGTCTCCCCCTCCTCCCCTGGCTGCGGCAGGGGATCAGCACCCAGGGCCTGTGGCCGCCTCTCTGCTGGCTCTCCAGGGGTGACCCCTGCCGCGTGACCAGGCACTCTGTGGAAACAGCCCTCCTGAACGCCCCATCATCCCAAAGCGGCTGCTTCCTCTCCACCCTTCCTCTCAGATGGGACACAGTCATTCCCTGCGGCCGGGTGCAGCACGGTGGCGATGGCGGTGGTGGTGATGGGCTTGTCCTTCTCTGGGTCGGACATGTTCCTGTTTGCTGGGGCTGCAGCCTGCGACTCAGATACGTCCAGGGCCATGACTCCTGTGGGGGAATGCTCTCCAAGGGAGCTGGGGAGCCCCAGGAGGGAAATAGGGAGGGAGGGAGGGAGGGAGATGTTCCCCAGGAAAGACCAAGCCCAGCATGGCAGGGACTCTTTCCCACCCCCCCACTCCCGGACCGGCTCTGTGGCTGGTCAGAGTCCATCATCAGTTCCCAGTAAAGCAAACAGGGCTGCTTCCCAGGACCAGCTGGCACGGGTCCCATCAGGCCAATGCTTCACCCCTCACCGTCTCCTGCTGGAAGAGCCCTTCTGAACAAGGAGATAACACAGGCACACACAAGCGGGGAGCGCAGGGGTGGTGGTGAAGGGAGAGAGCAGCAGGAGGCTTGGCCGGCACCTGCTCACTCGCTGACTCTCAGCTGGACCAAAGAAGGAGAGCCAAGAGGTGTCCACAAAGGCAGAGGCGGAAGGGAGCAGACTCTGTCACCTGCTGGAGGAATGCCAGGGCCACGGGAAACACTGGGGGGCGGGGGGCACAAGGCATCCCACAGCCAGCCATTGTGTACAGGGAATGCTGGGCAGAAGCCAAGCAGCCCAAGACAGTTGAGGAATCTTTGTGTGTTTCAAATGTGGTGCTCTAATTAAAAGCAATGATTTGAGCTTCCCTGGTTATTATTTTTTTGTCAGCCTAAGCAGCCTCTCTCTCTCTCTCTCTCTCTCTCTCTCTCTCTCTCTCTCTGTCTCTCTCTCTCTCACACACACACACACACAGTGTGGCACGCGGACAGCATCTCCACCTGGGAGTCCGTGCACACCGATGTATGGCCAGCTCTGCTTGCAAACCCAGTGTTTGCAACAGCAGACATTTGGGCTGACAACTCCCATCACGCTGGCTGGGGCTTCTGGGAGTTGTAGGCCAGCCCCAAACATCTGGAGGGGAAGGATTTATCCTCCTTCCTGGACAGGAGAGAGAGAAGGAGGTTCTGAATCAGGATTCCTCTCTCCGCCCCGGTCCCACCCGCTGAAAGCTTCCGCTACAGTTTGGAGCCCCGACGCTCTTTCCGTCTCTCGGAAGCGGCAGAACCGGGCGGCGCCTACGCAGCCTTTGCAGAAGAATTGCCTAAGTAAGTTCCGCGGAACTTTAGCGGCTGCTCCTAATTAAGTCACAACCGATGTCCCAGGCAGGGGGCGCGCTTCCACCCCGACCGACCGAAGGAAGCCGCCGGGAGAAGTAACTTCCGAAGGGGTAGCCTCCCGCGGGTCCTGGCAGCGCGCTAGTCCGCCAGGCGAGGCCGGAGCCCGCGCGGGGAAGGGACAGGGCGAACCCCCTTCGTCGGGCGAGAGGGGAGGCGGAGGCAGCCCCAGTCAGGGAGGGAGGGCGTCCCTCCCGCGCCCGTCGCGTTCACACGACAAGACAAATCCCTCTTGCTACGGAGCTGTCAGGACGCCCGGGTTAACCCCTTCCCTGCCGGGCTCTGGGTGGGCAGCGCCGGCGCTGCGCGGGGTCCGACTCCGGAGGGTTTAAAGCGGAGCGGGCGGGCGGGCAGGCAGGGGGCGCGCGTGCCCAGCTGG